AACGCGCATGACGTCTGCTGGCACGGGATGGCAGGTCCTGCCGCACCCAGCCTCCGCGCAACTACTACCAGCACCACCCTGCTGGACGAGCTCCTCGACTCCTTCTCCGACGTCTTCACCGAGCCCCATGGACTGCCTCCTGCTCGTAGCTAAGACCACAACATCATCCTCCTGCCAGGATCGTAGCCCATGGCGGTCTGCCTCTACCGGTACCCGGTGACACACAAGGACGAGATGGAGCGGCAATGCGCCGCCATGCTGGACCAGGGGCTCATACGCCGGAGCTCCTCGGCCTTCTCTTCCCCGGTCCTCCTCATCAAGAAGGCCGATGGGTCGTGGTGTTTCTGCGTCGATTACCGCGCCTTGAACGCGATCACCGTCAAGGATGCTTTTCCTATCCCGGTGGTTGATGAGTTGCTGGACGAACTCCACGGCGCCAAGTTCTTCACCAAGCTAGACCTTCGCTCGGGTTACCACCAGGTCCGCATGTCCCCCACTGACATCGCCAAGATGGCGTTCCACACACAAGATGGGCTGTACGAGTTCCTGGTGATGCCGTTCGGGCTGTGCAACGCTCCGGCCATGTTCCAAGCGCTGATGAACGACGTCATGCGCCCTTTCCTTCGCCCGTTTGTGCTCGTGTTTTTTTATGACATCCTCATCTACAGCTCCTCTTGGGTGGATCATCTCCGGCACCTCCGTGCCATCCTTACCGTGCTGCAGCAGCACCGGCTCTTCGTCAAGCATTCTAAGTGCGCTTTTGGGGTTGCCTTCATCTCCTACCTGGGGCACATCATCACCGAGGCCGGCGTCGCCATGGATCCCGCCAAGGTGCAGGCGGTCCGTGACTGGCCCTAGCCCCGCTCGGCGCGTGCAGTACGGGGCTTCCTTAGCTTGGCGGGGTACTACCACAAGTTCGTCCACGACTACGGCTCCATTGCGGCTCCCCTCACGGCGCTGTTAAAGAAGGAAGGGTTCCGCTGGACCCCCGACGCCACCACGACATTCTAGGCCCTCAAAGCCGCGGTCACCTCGGCTCCAGTTCTGTCCCTACCAGACTTCGACAAACCGTTCGTCGTCGAGTGCGATGCGTTGACCCACGGTTTCGGGGCAGTGCTCATCTAGGAGAAACATCTGATCGCCTACTTCAGCCGGCCCGTCGCACCGCGACACCGCTCCCTCGCCGCCTATGAACGGGAACTGATCGGCCTCGTCCACGCCATCCGTCATTGGCGTTGGTATCTCTGGGGACGCCGCTTCCTAGTGCGCACGGACCACTACAGCCTCAAATTTCTTCTCGACCAGCGCCTCGCCATGATCCCACAGCATCATTAGGTCGGCAAGCTCCTCGAGTTCGACTTCACCGTTGAGTACAAGCCCGGCGCTATGAACACGGTGGCCAATGCCCTCTCGCGCCATGACACTAAAGAGGGCGCTGTCCTCGCCATCTCCGCGCCGCGGTTCGACTACATCGAGTGCCTCCGCCAAGCTCAGGACACCGATCCAGCCCTCGTCGCCATCCGGGACGAGATCACTAGAGGCACTCGGGTGGCGCCGTGGTCCCTCATCGACGACATGGTGGCCTATGTTTCCCGCCTCTATGTTCTGCCGGCGTCACCACTACTGCCGGAAATCATGACCGTCGTGCACGAGGACGGCCACGAGGGTGTGTAGCGCACCGTGCACTGCCTCCGCCACGACTTCCACTTCCCCAACATGCGTCGCATGGTCTAGGACTACATCCGAGCTTGCTCCACCTGCCAGCGATACAAATCGGAACATCTTCATCCGGCTGGCCTGCTCATGCCGCTGCCGGTCCCGAAGGCGGTCTAGATCGACATCGGTCTAGACTTCGTGGAGGCGCTGCCGCACGTCGGGGGAAAATCTGTCATACTGATAGTGGTGGATCACTTCAGCAAGTATTGCCACTTCATTCCCCTGGCTCACCCGTATTCTGCAGAGTCCGTGGCCCAGGCTTTCTTCACCGACATTGTTCGACTCCACGGCATGCCTCAGTCCATGGTGTCCGACCGCGATCCGGTGTTCACTTCCAAGTTCTGGAGGGAGCTGATGCGCCTCATGGGCGCCAAGCTGCACATGACAACGGCTTTTCATCCGCAATCGGATGGCCAGACAGAGGCAGCCAACCGCGTCATTGTCATGTACCTACGCTGCTTCACCGGCGACCGGCCCCGTCAGTGGCTTCTCTGGCTGCCGTGGGCGGAATACATCTACAACACGACCTATCAAACTTCGCTCCGCGACACGCCATTAGGGTGGTCTACGGCCGAGACCCGCCTACCATTCGGTCCTATGAGCCGGGCGAGACTCGTGTCGCTGTCGTCGCCAAGAGCATGGCAGACTACGACGAGTTTCTAGAGGACGTCCGCTACCGGCTTGAACAAGCCCAGGCGGTCCAGAAGCTGCACTATGACAAGATGCACCGACAAGTCTCCTACGTGGTGGGCGACTGGGTTCTACTCCGTCTACGCCATCGCCCAACCGCCTCACTGCCCCAGGCGACCACAGGGAAGCTAAAGCCTCGCTTCTTCGGGCCATACCGCGTCACCGAGCTCATCAATGAGGTTGCCATGTGCCTCGCCTTGCCTCCGCACACTAGGCTGCACGACGTCTTCCACATCGGCCTCCTCAAGAAGTTCATCGGTGATCCGCCGGCTACACCGCCACCTCTCCCGGTCATCCACAACGGTGCTGCTGCTTGTTCCGAGCCCGAACGGCAATCGCGCGATCCGCTTTGCTCATGGCGTTCGGCAGTGCTCATCCAATGGAAGGGAGAAACCGCGGCCTCTGCAACCTGGGAAGATGTGGACTCCTTCCTCCACAAGTAACCTGTGTTCCAGCTCGAGGACGAGTTGCTAGTCGAGGGGGGGGAGAGATGTCATGTGGGGCCACGCCTATACAAGGAAACGACGCGCCGGGATGTCCGCAGAGCCACTGAGGATCTGGGCGTGGTCACCATGCAGGCAGGTGTGCCAGCTGAAGATATGGGTGTGGTCACCAGGCGCGCAGATCAGGAAGAAATGGCAAGTGGCTAGAAGAAAATAACAGCCGATCAATGTCTTAGAATTAGGAGCAATTAGCTCTAATTTGTAGTGCCAAATGGCCTATATATGAGAATCCTCGGGATGAATAAGAATCAAGCAAGAATTATTACATAATTTCTCTTCTTCTTCCTCTAAACTAACTGGAGCTGAGGGGCAAAACCTCGCCCAGCTACCACGGGTCGCGGCTACGAACTCCGTAGCCGGGGTCCTATTAGTCAGCTTACAGAAGGTATAACACTAGCAGTTCGCATTATTGTTGACTCCTCATGAATGAAATCCTTTTTTGACAGGCTGAATGCTGGTAACGCCATCCAGGTCTTGGTTTACCTTTTGACCATTGTCACGCTTGCAGCTGTTGAACCATTGTTGTATCTAGTTCAACATTATTACAATCGGGCTGTCAACTTAACTTTTTAAGTTGAGCTCTGGTCATTTAATAATTTCTGCCTGATAAGTTAATCTCTCTTTTTCATAGGTCTATCTGTCATTGTGGTAGTCGCTGTTAGTGCCTGTTTCTGTAGCTGCAATTGTGGTAAATGGCCATGGTTATTGTTGCAAGTTGCTATTTTTTTTGAAAACTAAATGCATGTGACAAATCCCACTTGCGTATCAGTGATGCTTAGCAAAACATTGAAATCATCTATTACACCGCTTCTGCTTGACATGATCTGAAGAGAATAAAGGTCACATAGTTGCTCCTTCAGGCTTCAGCCCGACCCTCTAAACATTACATACACAACCGAAAAAACACCACAGCGCCGTTACACAGGAGATATTTGTGTCCGCCTCAAAAAGGAGAAAATACATTAGCATTTTGGCAATGTTACAGTGCTCAAGAATCGGAATACATGTTATGTCATGGAAATGGCAAGGTGTCAATTTTCAGGCACAACATGTTACTGAACCTCTCTCTGCATATGTACCGTGGGCTGCTGCTGGATGACATCGCATCTTTCAAGACAGCCTGAACGATCGAACAGCCTGCAAAAGGGTAAGGGGAGAAGAAGAACAGGAACCATAAACCAACACTGCCGGTGGCCATCGAGCTACAACTACAACGATGACAATTTCCAGATAGCCAGAGCCCAGAGGCAAACTCCATAATCCGGCCACTAGAAGATGACCAACCAGGCTTTCCAGCTACTACAGGTGCAAGAAACATCATTTCACTCGCCAACGAGTTCACTTAATTTTATCCATCACGAGTTCACAACCAAAGCCAATGGTTCAGCACACAGGAAAATCGGCTAGAAAAGACTAAGGTAGCAGGCTACTCCGCAACTGTGCGTCTGTGCCAGTGTGCCCTGGTAGCAAAAACACTGCTTCAGGGCAACCATGCTCAACACACCCCAGCCAGTCTAACAAGTTAAACAAGCTATGCCTTCATGTCGACTCGTGATGGGCCTCCTCGGTGGATTAGGGCGTGATTGGTTGCAGAGCAAGCCTCGAGCCAGGATGGTTAGGCTGTGCAGGACCAAAGAAGCGGGTTGAGCTCGTGTAAGTGGTCGTGTTTGGTTGTCTTTGTTGTTGGTTCAGTACGAGATGAGATCATGTTTGGTTGCATGCATGCATCAAAGTTTTGAAGTGTCTGACACATGGGCCTCTGCACCATGCGTGAATCAAGCCGTCCTGCATGGAGAGGGAAGTGAAAATTGAGAAGACGGAGACGTGCGGGATGGAGGAGGGCAGATAAACGAAAGGATGCAGGCGAAATGTACGAGCAGGGGAACCAAACATGGACGCACTGCACCGAGTGATACCGGATGGGCCTTTGGACGGCGTGAGCGGGGCAACCAATCACGCCCTTATTGAATCGCTTCAGTGCAGCACCTTGTTCACATAATCACATCCACCGGCGGAGCTACCCATCGGCCAACCTGCCCCGCCCTTATGCTCTGTTGCTCACCAGCGCCGCCACAGCACGGTAACCGCAAGCTAACTGCTCGTATAGTCTAGCAATTGGTCCCACCGTGGATTGACTGTGTGAGCTCCGCCACTGATCACATCGTTGAAGTAGGGGTGCTCCAGGGCCTTATGTGTAGTGATCCGCTTCTCCGGCTCGTATTCCAGCATTTTTTGCAACAGACCAACACAAGTAAGAACATGAAATCCCCCTACAAATATACTATAACACAAGTTCTTCTCAGCCACCACTGCATGCAATTTTCTCTTATAGGCTAGATGCTACATTGTACAAAATTAAGAGTATCGCAGCCTCTGCATGATTCACTACTTACTGAGTACTTAGTACTGACCTCAAGCAGATCGTAGCCATCATCGTTGAGACCAGGCACAAGAGTGGGCAGCTTTGTCGGTTTCCACTGAGGGTACTCGTGCCAATTGGGCAGCTTGCCAACGCCTGGCCACACCTGCTCATTTGGGGTGCCCAGCAACCTGGCATTGGAGAAAACAAGATGTATCATTGTCAGTATCAGACAGTATCAAACAATGAACTAATTAAAGACACTGGGGATATTACTTGAAGATGTGTAGCAGCTGCTGGAAGGCCGAGCCACCAGCGAAAAGTGGCTGGCTAGTGACCAGTTCAGCTACAGTTTACACCATGCAGGTTCGAATAATATCCGATCCATATGTGTCGGTGTGAATTCTGAAGCAGTTTGCATCGAAAAGTGATCTCTGAGTTCATCGAAATCGTACCAAAAATGCAGCCAACAGACCATATGTCAGCCGGCATGTAGTAGTGCGTGGCGCCCAGGAGAATCTCGGGGGTCCTGTACCATCCATGCGGCTCGAGACCGACCTCGTGGGTGCACGTCTGGCCCGGCAAGCGGAAGATGATGGCGCGGCTGAGGCTAAGGTCGGCGATCTTGAGTGCCATGGTCTTGCAGTCCATGAGCAGGTTGCGCGGCTTGAGATCCCGGTGCAGCACCCCGCGGCCGTGGACGAAGGCCACGCCCTTGCAAAGCTGGTACATGAGGATCTGCGAGCACAAACATGACATGGGTAAGGCACTCGCACAAACACCTGGCTTGCACGGCGTTGGGCTGGAGAAGGAGGAAGAGGGGGGCAGGAAACCACGTACCTTCACGGTGGCCGCGGGGATCTTCTCGCGGTTGCTGCGGTGTCCGCGAATGAACTTCTTTAGGTCGGTGTCCATGTACTCGAAGACGAGGTAGAAGATGGTCTGCCCCTCCTTGTTGAAGCCCTGCTTGAGGTGCAGCAGGCGCACCACGTGTGGGTCCTGCGACAGCATCCGCAGCAGGGAGACCTCCCGCATCGCGGTCGGGGGCACGCCCTCGCCGTCCTCGGGGAGCCGCGTCTTCTTCAGCGCCACGATCTGGCCCGTTGCCTTCTCCCGCGCCCTGTACACCTTCCCGGACCTGCCTCCCGGACCTTCTCCAGCTTCTCGTACAGGTCCAGTGCGCGCCGCCCGCCGCCCATCTTCATGATCGGCGCCGGCGCCGGCGCCGGACTCGGCTGCTGCTGGAAAGTTGCCTTCCTCGGTCGGATCCGGCCCTAGCTCGCTCTCTTGCTCGCGGCGGCTTTGGGTTGCTCGTCGGTGGGTGGAGTTGGGGTAGGGATTGGGATCATGGGATGGTGGGAGGATTTATATGCGAGAGGGGGCGGAGGGGAAGAGACGAAGGGCCTGTTCGCTTCGAGGAAATCTGGAGGAATTTGGATGGTTTGGAGGAATGCTGGAGAAATTTGTGAGAGAAAAACACTATTCCGGATAAAAAAAGAAGCGGATCAAGCCGGGTTTAAGAGCACGCGAACGGGCTGAAGAGTGCCTTTTCACTGTTTGATTGAGGGGTGGCACTCTAACGGTTTCCTTTCGGGGATTACGAATTTGTAATCGCCCACGATTTTGGTGGAGGCGCACGTATCGTCGCTTGCTTTCATGCGAGTTATTATGGGCCGTTTATTTGCTTTCATACGAGTTATGTGCCGTTGTCTGCTTTCATACGAGTTAGGCCCAGATCATATAGAGCCCAGAATGACACGGTTTATCCCTTTTTTTTCTTTCTATACTGCTATAAAAAGGTTCGTGAAAGGAGCGATGACATATATAACAGTATTGCCTATTCCCCCGTCATGTACTATCGAAGTTTGAAAAAACGGTAATGCTGTGAATCGGCGTCCGTCCGCCCGCACGCTCCATTGCTTTGGCCACGACGTTAGCTCAATAACCCACGCTCCTTTGTCTCTAAAAAAACTGCTGAGCTACTTATTCCTATTCACTCGTTCCACTTCGAATTGCTCTTATCCGGTCGCCTTGCGCCTTCGAGCGCACAACCGCTGGCCCTCTGAGGCGCAGCACGCAACCGCCTCCGAGGCGCACCGCTCGGGCGTTGGCCTTGCCAGGCACGGTGCGCGGCCGCCTTCGAGTCACGGCGCTCAGCTGCCAGCCCTGCCAGGCACAGCGCGCTGCTGCCCTCTCCAAGTCGCGCGGCCGCGGCCTCCCCGCCGCTCGTGCGGCCGATGCCTCCCTTCCGCGACGTGCAGCCACTACCGCCGGCCCGTTGCCTACAAGCGCCACCGGGTCGCTGCCTCTGGTGAACACCACACACCAACAAGCCCCCATTCTGCTAAACAGCAAGAAGATGTTGCGTTGAAAGCACATGTTGCAAGGGTATGTTCCAATTGTTTCATGTTGCAAGTGTTTCATATGGATGTTGCAAAAATAGACCGTGATGTTGCACATGTTGCAATGGTTGTACACGTATCTTGCAAGCGTCCGTTCCAAATATTACATCTTCTTTTTAAGGCATATGTTGCAAGTGTGCTTATTTGGATGTTGCATATGTTTCACACATATGTTGCAAGAATATGTTCGAAATATTTCAGCTATTTCAATCTTATGTTGCAATAAGTGTTTTATGTTGCAAGTTGCGAGTGTTTTATCTGGATGTTGCATATGTTTCATAAACATGTTGCAAGTATATGTTCCAAATATTTCATTTGCATTAGACGTATGTTGCATTCAAGTTTTTCATGTTGCAAGTGTTTCGTCTTTCAGAGGTATGTTCATAGAGTCATGGGGGCACGCATTGGGGGAAGAGGCGCGGTGAGCCGGGGACCGGCGGATGGGGCGCGCGGCGCGCCTGGGGTCCAGCGGACGGGGCATGGCTCGTCCTCATCCTGGCTCCTGGATCCCACCCACGCAAAGAGAGATGGGGGTCAGGGGGGAAGGAGCGGCGGGCGCGGGGCGGGGCGATACGGAGGGGGGTGGGGTACGTGTGCGTGGCGGGATGAGGTAGACGAGGAAGGACTGTAGCGATACGTTGGGAGTGCGGCGCGTTTCTGCTGGGCTGTTCGGTATCGTTCGATGGAATCATATCCCATCGGGCGTCCGGGCGACAACAATTCCCTAAAAAATACAGAAAAGTAAGTAATGTATTTGATGCTACTTATTTTGATCTTTTTTTACCTTAGCCAAACTTATAACAATTTGACTTACAAAAAACTCAGAAAATCTTTATATATTTGTCAACAAAGGGAGTACTAAGAGCATCTCCATACCCAATCGCCTATATCTAAAAAGCAGCATTTAAGAGATACATATGCAGCATCAGATCTTTTATCTCATCTTTTATACCTATAACTTTAAGAGATCTCCCAAAAAGAAGCATCCTTTCTCTTAGATAAAGAAGACAACCCGCACTCCTCAGTTTATAAAGAAATATAGGAGTCAAAATTTAGGTAATCTGCTACAAATGTGTTCTCTTGTATTCTAAATTGATTTTAAGACACTATATATAACCCGCTACAACAATGTTCTCTTGTATTCTAAATTGGTTTTTAAGACACTATAAACCAACTTATTATAGGACATAAGTACATTATAAGCGATATGTTGGGGATGCTCAAAGTTTGCTTGTTATCCAACTCAAGAAACAAAATCATTTGCCTGTTTTCAAGCCAAGTGACAGGAACTTTGACTAGAGGCCACATAGTTGCTCCTTCAGCACGACCCTCTAAACATACACAACCGAAAAACACCACTCTCAAGAATTGGAATACATGTCTCGTCTTGTCTCATCGAAATGGCCAGGTGCAATTGACAGGCATATATGTTACTGAAACCTGAGCTTCTCTGCATATGTACCGTAGGCTGCTGAATCAGATCGTCTCTTTCATGTGAGCCTGAACGATCGGACAGCCTGCAGAAAGGTAGGGCAAGAGAAGAACAGAAACCATAAACCAATGTCAGAAAAGAAGAACAGGGGGCAGAACAGAACAGAATCGACACTGCCGGGACCGTCTCACCTTCTCTATCTGTGGCCTGTACTTCTCCGAATCATCGTCGTCGATGTACTGCAAACAACAACATTTGTTCGAGATGTTAATCTAGCTGAGGAAACAGGCGTTGGTCCAAGGTGTAGCAGGAGCGCGGCTCACCTGGCCTGTCACCGTGTAGAGGCGGTTGTACCAGCCGTTGAACGCCATCCCGATGGCCGAGACGATGTGCCGCCGCCGCTCGCCGGGGTTCTGCAGCGTGTACTCCAGGTAGTACAGGCCTGCGGCGGGCAGTCAGTGTGCATATAGGTCAGGTTCAGAAGCTCTGCGTTCCTTCAGTTGTGCTGTGAGCTAGTAGTACCGTTTGCTGCCCTGGAGTCGACGAGCTTGGCGGCGAGCCCCGGCGGCCTCTGCCAGCTCCTGTCCAGGCCGTTCACCTGCCCCCAGACGATGGACATCAGAATTCAGAGAACGGCTTGCGTTGGTTGGTGCCAGATCACTCAGGAACGTTCAGGCAGAGCCGCAGAGGCAGAGCATGCTGGAGGGAGCACGTACCAGGCCCTCGGCGAAGGCGTCGACGTCGCCGAAGGACTTGAGGCTGGTGAAGTCCGGCCCGATCCCGGTGATGGCGACGCTGACTGATTAGAGTGGAACAAGATGCACAGGCCCGTCAACGTGAGTTAATTATTCCCCGAATGAAACCGAGACGACGGTGTCGCCGATGTGGAAAAAGAAGAAGAAGCAACAGGCGTACCGTTGGAATCGGCGGCGGCCTGCTCGGGGTAGAACGCCGTGACGGACTTGATGCCGCTGGCCTCGCCGGCGCCGACCAGCCAGCCTGTGCACACACACGCACAGAGCTACGGTCAGTTACACTTACACAGACTGCTTGCTTGCAGGTCGCCATTTCCACCAAATTCTGCAGACTGAATTGGACCTTCTTTTGCACTGGATACCTCGACTGATGATTGATGAAAGCAAAAGAATTGCGTACCTTGTGGAACTTGAATGCTGAACTTGTTGGCCTCATCCTCGTAGGTAGTGAAGCCCTCCTGCGACTCTTACCATTGGACCAAACTGAAGCAATAAGCATATACAGCTGCAACACCTAGAACAGTAGAACACGGTAGCAACGCCAACGAGAACTGAATGTTGCAAGGCGAGGGCGTAGGCGCTGCTATACCGGTGGTGGCCTCGTCCGCTAGAGCACCGGCAGGGGCGAGCAGCGGCGCCACCGCGGTGGAGAGGACGATGCCCAGCAAGGCGTCCCTCCGGTCCAGCCCTTCCACCCTGTCAACCATGCATGCCGGCGGCGCTGAATTGTGCCGACGAGCGAGGTGCGTGCGAAGCTACTGTGTACAAAACTGAGAGGTGTAGCGTGTACCGTGCAGGGCGGCAGTGGCGGACCGTTGATGCTGCCTGCTGCAGCCTCTTGCTGCTGGGCTTGCGCGTGAACGGCGACGACGAAGAGAGGCCGCCGGCTGCGGCCGGGCAGAGGGAGGCGGTGCTGGTCACGGCAGCCATGGCACAGAGAAGGAAGCACGCACGGGATGCCGGCGGTGGCGGTGGTTGGCTGGCTGGTTCGGTGTTGTTTTAGCGGGATATTTTTGTTGCAGCCGTATGTGTGGCAACGGGGCACCGTTCGCCGGGGACTCTCGCCTGTGGCTTGTGGCTTGTGGCCTGTGGTCGCCGCTGCGGCTCCCAGGACTGGTGGGCCAGGGGCGCGAGCGCGACCGGCCGAGGGCGGCCTGGGACGTCCGATCTTGATCGGACGATTCGCGCATGCCCTCGCCGCAATGCGGCACGCCAACCGTAATTTTTGTTCGTGAAGCCCGAGTGCGCTGCGCTACACTATTTCGGAATCCAAATCCAGATCATCGTACTGTGAGACAAGACAATTCACTATTGCAATCGAGAATTCTCCTGCTGTTTGAGCTACGAATAGTCAATAAATTCATGCTATGAGCGCTTAACTTCTTTTCTGAATTATTTCGTGAAAAGAAAATTCTTCTCTGAAAGAAGTTTGTTGCTCAAGCGGGCAAGCCTTTCGTAATAACATGTCAAATTTGATCGAACCAGTTCTCACAACTAGAGTTTGCTTCAAACAAACAACTAGCGAGAATCCACTGGTGCTAGGGCCCTGTTTGGATGAGGAGCAGGGAAACCGGCTAGAGCAACACCGTTTCCTTCTCCTTTTCTTCCTTTTTGGTTTGACGCTTCAAATCGTGTTGTTCCAAATATTTTTTGGCACATTCTTGAAACGTTTTTTTGCATGTCAACACTAGTATAAGAGACTCCCTAAAAAAACACTAGTATAAAAGAACCAAATGCCATTAGCACGGGTCCCGCCCATCAATCGCCCATCTCCAGTTTCCTCACCTAGCACCAGCAGCGCGCGCCAGTGCGCCACCATGCCTTCGGCATCCACACCACAAGTCATGCAAAGCAGAAGTAGGGGACATCTGCCATCCCATGATGAGGTTGCGTAGCCGCACCGAGCTTTATTACCTCGTTGCTCTAGCGTCATAGCATCATGGGGCGCGGGGTTTATGACCCGCCGCAAGTCCGTGCGCCCCTTGATGATGTTGACACGTGGCTATTTAATTAAATCTCACGTCCACCAGCTTGTTACAGCAACTGCCTCTATGATTAAGGCACTAGCTGTTCAGATTCAATGGATGAGCCTCCTCTCCCAGCCGTTTGATTTTCTCGAGGCACCATGTGGCAGCCATCCAAGCTAGGGCGCATGGACGGGCTTTGGACCCATCGTCCACAGAATTTTCTTCCCGCCGCCGTCAGTCCTCCGCATTTTGTGAACTATGTGTCCTTGTGGTTCGGTTGTGATGAGTGATTGTCAACGTGACTTGCGTCTTGGGTTGAGTCGGTGAACTAACCATGGCGTGAGTTGGGTTGTGCAACATGTCTCTTGGCTTCTGGTGCGCAGGTGTGGAGCTCGGAGGCGGTGGTCAACGGCGAGGTGAAGGTCAAGTAGGGACGTGCCGTGCCGATGGACTGATAGCGATGAAGGATGGACGTGAGGCTTGTACCAAGGGACCAGGAGGCCGGGTGACGGTGGCTGACACTTGGGGACATCGACAAGTGCAAGAGTACATGGGTGATGAAGACGGTGTCGACCAAGCCAAGGAGGAGAACGATGGTGTCGTGGCACTTGGCGGAGGCCAGACACGCATCTGCATGGGTGATGTAGATGGCGTCGGTCAAGTCAAGAAGGAAGGCGAAGGCGTCAAGCTTGGTGGAGGTCAGACACGCGTCGACATCGGTTAGTCACGCCTGGCGAGGCGTGCACGAGGGTTTGCTGGTTTGGTCTTTAATACCGGGGATGGACGGTTTTGCTGGTTATGGCCTCAAAACCAGGCGTGGGTGGTTTGGTGGGTTGAGTCTCAAAACCACCAGTGGACGGTTCTCGGGTTTGGACCTCAAAACCCGGTTGCGGTTCCGGCGGATCGAAGGCGGCACGTGGCATCATCGCGAGGCTTGCGTCGAGGCGAAGCTAAGTTGTGAAGGGCGCGTGGCCGTCGGATGCTTCTATCTCGAGTTGGACCACAACGCTCACAAGTCAAGTGGTTTGGCTCAAAATATCTAGGGACAAGTTGGTCATGTGTAATAGCCCCATAAACAAGGGGACGGTTGATCCAACCAACCTCACCTCTTGAGCATTTTCATTTTCTCCTTCTATTTTGTTGGGAGCAGATCACTGGATTTTTTGGGGTCAATTTTGCCCTATTTACATCATGGCAATAGATTGGTTCTCAAAGTGTTATAAAACGAAATTTGGTTTTAGGACTGAAAATGTGCTTTGTTTTTTCAGACATGGAACTTTCATAAGATAGAGAAACCAATGGCTGAATAGTGTTAGTCTAAAATATTTTAATACACTAGTACTGGTTAATATCGAGAAACCAATGGCGGAATTTTGTTATACAATTTCGTATTGAATCTAAAATTCTGCTATTCCTTGTGGTCAATTACCTACATTTAAATTGATTGTAGAAGCGACGTCTCTACTATGATGTCCCAGTGAAGGAAAAGATTGACAAGGAAACACTCTGCTTTGTGTCCACTGTTGAAAAGAGATTGAATGAGGTTTGCATTACAACATTTCCTATGCATCACATATACGGATACACATATATCATTGCATAAATAGGAGTAGTAATCCTAAGAATGTAGACCACCTACTTCTTCAATAATACCCCTCAACTTATCAGCAATGTATTCTTTTGATCTGTACGCACCTTTCACAATTGTTAGCCCTTAAGAAAATAGGTGCATTCTCAGAAACAACAATTGATGATTTTTTTCTTTCTGTTTCTTAACAAATATTGTCATTGCTTTAGCAAAATACAAGGATTGCACGCTTGAAGACTCGAAAGGACCTCTTGGAGCAGAAACTGGACACAGAACTAAAGAGATATGTTCGTTCGCTGAAATTTGGCTTATGCTGATACTTATACTGATTTACTGTAAGAAGAAAATATTATTCATTCGCTGAAAAATACTACTGAAGTAGTGCTGTAGAACAGGGTTTTCAAGCTTCAAGGATAAGGTATATACATTCACTTCCAACTTTTTGGTCATGCTGTTCATTCTGCAAATCTAGTACCTTCGCCCTGTTCGCTTGGCCTATAAGCCGTACTTTTTCAGCCAACGAACGGTATTTTTCTCTCACACTAAATCAGCCAACAGTACTTTCAGTCATGGCTTATCGGCCAAACGAACAGGGCATTTAGCTTTAATTTTTGTTTTTTCAGGCTTGGAGGAATCTTGGCCGGAAAGATCTACGAGCTGTGTGCGTGACCTTCAGTTGGATACTCTTGGTTGATACGATTATGGTTGGAGTTTATGGTCTATGGTTCTTGCTTTCTTTGTGATGATATTAGTGAGATGTGATGGATATTTGTGATCCTCTATGATACATGTGGATGATACGAGAGTGTGATCTAATTGAGATATGTAAGTATGTCATGTATACTTCTAAAAACAAAGGAGACTGCCAAAATTTGCCAGCAAAAAGAAAGATTAATAGAATTTGAGATAGGTTTCAACTAAGACCAAGAGAGAACTAGTATAGCTTAGGAGAGTAGAGAGTGATGAGCTTTAACAACTAAAAGAGACAGGGATAAGTGAGAGAGAGAAACTTTCGTCACTCATAGCATAACATGCATATAGGGCATCCAGACTGACTTGGTGTGTTCCTCACTTAGGTTAGAGTCTATTCGTCCTGTCTTCTAACCCATGCTACTAATATTGTTGAGACATTCTCAAAAATCAATTTCCAAGTTAGGTTAGTCCACTAGATTTTGCAAACATAGAGTGATGAGAAGAGAGGCAAGAAAAATCTAGGAAAAAGGGTTAGAATAACTTTAACTTGTTCCTAAAGCACTAGAGTACTTTTAAGTGTTGAAATATCACGTCCAAGTTACATAAGTTATTTTTTAACTCGGAGTGCTTTTCATTACTCATCATCTGATCCAGCTAAATCGCTGATCACCAAAACCTCAATCGCTTGAGGTACATCATCCCAAGTGTTCATCTGTCCATTGGGAAAAGTACAACCGAAAGCAGCTAAATTTTGAGCTACCTTATTACAATCACGTTTGCACACACTAATTTTACATGAGACGAACTCACTGTTCATCAGGTGCTTCATCTCCGTGATGATTCCACCGACTGCAGAAAGTCGGTAGGAGTTCTCCATCAGTGCCACCTTGACTAGTGTTGCATCAGTCTCCACACATACCCGCGTTATCCCCAGCCGGGCTGCTACCTGCATCCCTGCTTGAAATCCCAAGAGTTCAGCGTGGAAAGCATCGAACAGGAACTTCTCACGACTCTCACAATTCGGCCCAGGTCATCTCAGATTACAAAACCTCATCCCCCTTCTTTCGTGACACTGTCAAAATCCCCGTCTGAGTTGATTTTCAGTTCACACGTGTTCGGTCTCTGCCATTTGCTTCTTCAGAGCGTACTCTGTCTGTATTGCAGCTAGGTACGCAATTTCTGCTACTCCTCCTGTCGCCAGCACTGTTCCGGTAAGTACAGAGATTAGTCTCAATCATAGCTACTATTCCGGTTGATCTAGAAAATTTTGGGGGAGTTTTAGTTTCAATTGGAAGTAGATACTCACATTATGGATCCGGCTTACCAACTAACTCTTAGTATTTTTCTTCACTATATATTCATCCTTGCTGAAATTTCTCCTTTCTCCTTGAAAATTGATGAAATTTCTGATTTTTAAAGGAAGCTGCTATAGTTTTCATGTTTTGCCTTAAGAAGGCGACATTAGATAGACCAATATGCATTATAAGTGGACTTGAGCTCATTTGCGAAATGAATGAGAAGATGGGTACCGTTTCATAATTTTCCTTTGAAATGGATGCATTTTACTGGAGACACTGTAATTCTTTTCTTGCAACTGTGAAAAGAAGTGCCACTTATATCCTTTTTATTCTAGCAACTTGGGAATATGCAAACGGGCTTTACAAAGTCGATTCAGTTCATCATCTATGTTTTCTGTTTTACAGGGAAATTGCTGATTTCAATAAATTTGTAATAAAGGTCACCGTGTTGTCTTGTTTTGCTGGCTCTTGTGTGTTTTGGGCCTTGCTTGAAGAGGAGAAGCGTAGACGTCTCTGCATGGGCCAGAGCGGTTCACTTGTTTGCCAAGGTTGACGGCCAACGTGGGATTTCAAAATAATATAAGCTCCAAGGAAACTAGGAGGTCCATGTGCTATGAGAGTCTAGACTCTGCTCATCAAATCTGTGGTAACTAGACAACTAGTTCGATCAAATTTGATATAGTGTGTTATGGAAGGCTTGACCGCTTGAGCAACAAACTCATTTCAGAAAACAAAAAAAAATGATCTGAATAGAAAAGAAGGCAATCGCACATAGCACCATAAGACTGAACTACAGGCGCCGTAGGTTGTTTTTGAGCTAATGGCCTCTTGAACACTCTATTTATGTCTCTTGTTGCGAGTCATACAACCTGGGATCAGTAGAAATAGAGTTCATGCTTTTCCAAGGAAAGAGCAATGAAACTACTTGAGTAATTGGAAACGCAGAAAAGCTAGTCCCAACAACACAAATGATGAGGCAGTGGCACTATCCATATCTGAGAAAAAACAACGATTTGAGATGTACATCTAGCTGGGTAAACCGAAACACATCTCCATAAAACCACTAGCTCACGTTACGTTCTCTGACTCGCTGACTTTGAACTACCCGACCACCTTGTTCTTTGGTTTGACACTTTTTCCATATATAAAATCCATTTTTTTAGGGGACCATATAAAATCCAAATATTAGCGTAAAAAAAACATGGGCTGATTTCTTGATTGAATTAAAAATAAATAGATTAAGCCCAATTATCAGCAAGACTCTGGATAGCAGAGCCCACTTTCTTCTCTGTTTTTTTTTGGAAAAAAAAGAAAATCTTTCCGCAACAGCCAGCCAGGGATATGTGAAGTACTGTACTACTACTAGCTATTGGAAGAAACGGTTGGGTTGTCTTTCATAAGATGACCTATCAGTCTTTGCCGAACTGGCCAATATCTTCCTGCACTGCACTGCATCTTCACTGGACTTTGTGACTTATGAGGCGAGGAGATGGGCTATGGCAACACCAGAGAGATACATTTTTTGTTAGGTCACAAGGGTCCAAAGGCGGCTATGATACTAGAATGGCTTTGTGTGAAAGGTGAAGCCGATTTGATCATTCCGAGGGGCACATGGGAGGCTCTCTCTTTCTCTCTCCTCCCTTTTGTTTTCATTTTGTTTAGTCAGTATCACTCTTTTGTTTCCTTCCCTTCACAATTACTACTTTTGATACTCGAGTAGATACTTATGACGGTTTGAATTACATGTCTTGCTCTTCGTTACTCCCTCCGTCAAATCAATTTCTAGAATCCGTGCCAGTTAAACTCTTTTAAATTTGACTAATTTTATAGAGAAAAAAAACAACATATATATCGTAAAATGAGCAATTTATGAAAATATATTTTATGATAAATCCAATAATATTAAGGGCTTGTTTGGATCCTTCCCTCTAAACCTTAGAGCTAAAGCTCCAAACAAGTGGTCTAAAATTAGCTCTAAACTTTAGCCCACCTCATATCAGAGCTTCAGACATCAAAAGTGAGCTAAAGTGCTCTAAAGTTTAGAGGTAAGGATCCAAACAGACCCTGATTTAATACCATAAGTCTTAACGTTTTTTCAAGAAATTCAGTTAAAATTTAAAAAGTTTAACTTAAGACAAAACTTCAAGAATCTATTTATCTAGGAACAGAGGAAATATTTTCTTTATCTATATAATTGCCTGCCAGATTGCAGCCGTTGTTTCCCTTTGAAAAAGGAGACGAGAGAGATATCCACACAGTCAACTATCTCACGCATCACTTGTAACCTTTTTGCACTAATTTGTCTCTGATCCCATCATTTAACTCGGTTGGAAAATTGGCGCGGCCTGTTTAACGTACACTCTGCCGGTTTATTTATATGCATCTCCCATCTCGAGCAATCATTCAGCAAGGACGTGTTTTTCTCCCTGCCTAGTGCCTGCCATGGGAAAACACGGCCCCACGCCGACTTTTGCATTCATCCCGTATATCTATCCTCCCAGGAATTTATATGTCCTTCATTCATGTTCATGCGCTGATCTTCTTGAGTTGAGCCCACGGAATTCGAATTTATTACTAGTATTTATAAATACGCGCGCGTACATGTGATCGATCATGTCTGAGCTCGTGAAGAAAACGTACAAGTATGCTCTGTACCTTCCTCCACTAGCAGTGCAGCCCAATTCTCTGAAGATTGAAAGAAGCAGCGGTCCAGAGTTCTGACGCCGTGCGTCAATGAGATGAGCGAGAGCGGCTGCCCGGCAACAGCGAAAGATTCCAGAACAGAGAGCGATGTGGCGCGAAAGAAGTCGCTGGCCGCCGTATCTACCCGCCAACAACTCTCCAGTTTTTTTTCTTTTCTCTTCATTTCCTTTAAGCTTTTTTCTTTTCTTCTCTTTTTTTTTTCCGGTTTCTGTCATTTAGGATAAGCTCGCTGGATGGACAGGCAGGCAGGCAGGCTGTTTGGCACCACTTGGATTAATAGCATAGAACAGTATCATGCTGAAAAAATCAGGGCGACAGGATATGCATATAGAATAAAAAAATTGGAGGCATGCAGTGCAAGGAATAACAAATTGTTTTTGTGATACACCTGTTACGGCTGTTCGTCAGCTGCATGTTCTAGATTCGCGTCGTCGTGATGAGCTAGCAAAACAGGGCGCATGTTCCGGCCGGACCACGACGTGTCAAGTTCGTGTGCGGATTTTGCTCATGTCTTTTCGTGGATCATGGTGAATGGGTTCAGTCAGCATCGAGGAAGGAATATGTATACAGTGTACTAGTAAAAAAATCTTTTTTTTATTTGGTATTCGAGGTTTCAATAATTGTTTAAAGTTAACTAACTCCACCTTTTTATTATTACTTTTTATTTATGTCGTTTGTGTTCGACCGGTACTACTCTCGAGATCACCGAACTAAAGTTTGACAATGTGATTTGGGAAAGAAAAATCGGTATACTAGGAGGACCTAATCGCCTTTAGGGTAATCTAGCGAAAGGAAAGGGCCTTCAAATTGGCCCCTAGTTCATCTAGAGGCATAAGTGAAGAGCCCCCCTCCATGGAGGAAGCCCTCCATCTCAGATGTAGCGTCTCCGGCGGAATAAGCCCCAGAAGACAAGGAGGGGTCGAGACAAGACTCTTAGGAAATATTTTGGCCTTGGCGGTTTAAAGAATCGAGTCGGAGGAGGCCTTCGGGAAGCCTCTGCCCACTTGCTTTAGGAGATAGAACACCAAGAGGAGCGGGAAGCATATGGCGGGAGCACTCTGTCGTCCAAGACATGAAAGACGCCCAGGAAACCATGATAGTGGAGGGAGAAATGAAGATTGCCGATGACTCCTCTTGTAAAGTCAGGGACCTTAGTCCTGAATGATAGCACAAAAGTCAACAAATAGTAAAGTCTAAAGACTTTCCCACGAAAGATCGACCACAAAGCTTTGGACCATGAGGTGATAATATTGCCAAAATGCTTATTATCTGTTTTCCATAGCTTCATCTTATTGTAGACCCTTAGTACGATGCTGGTTGAGGAGAGTCAGAGCCGGTGAAGCTGAAAGGATCAAGATGTTCAAGAGAGGGGGTGAATTGGACTAATTCTAAAATTATTTACAATAATTAAACCCTACACTTAACCCACCTCACCCCTTGTGCCTAGAATGTGATTCTATTAATCTACCGCACAAAAGTTTAACACCCTAAGTTCTAATTCTACTTAGCATGGTAATTCTAAGAATGTAAAGACAAGAAATGAATTGCTCAAATATAAATGCTTAAAGTAAAGAGAGGAAAATGAACGCGGCGATATTTTACCGAGGTATCAGAGAGTCACCACTCCCCACTAGTCATCGTTGGAGCACCCGCGTAAGGTTGTAGCTCCCTCTTGATCTGCGCAAGGATCAAGTACTCTGTACGGGCTGATTCTTCGACACTCTGTCGCGGTGAATCGCCCACAACCGCTCACAACTTGAGTTGGGTTATCCACAAGCTTCGTCGGATGATCACCAAACTCCCGATCACCATCAAGACATCTAGGTGGTGGCGATTACCAAGAGTAACAAGTACGAAGTCTCACTTGACCACAATAAGCCTAATGAGAAAGGTGGATGCCACTTGCTACTCTCCTTGCACTAATAAGGCCTTAATCTTAAATTCTCAAATT